GAGACTCTCGCGAATGTTTTGTTACACATTAAAGTAAATGTTTCAATTTCTACTTGTTACGTCGTAAATAGACCCCAAGTAAAAAATAAATTCCTGACATTTCATCTACGACATTTCTTCGCGTTGCCAACCATATGTTTTTTACAACGGTCAGTAACAGTATTTTCTCAAGTAAGTACGCTAGACTCAAATCATTCGGGACTCAGTTTTATTGCGCACGGTCAGAAAAACTAAAAAATTTGGGATACCGACGAAATAGGTAACCATGCACATCTCCCTTGTCACCTTACCCTTACCATCCTTTACAGTCCTACTTCCTTGATTTTCCACCACGTTTTCATAGTTCAAACCATTTCGTCAGCCAACCAATCATAGCTCTCAATTTTCATTTTTTAAACACTCTCACAACGACTTTCCCAGATCCTTCCTCTCCATTTTCCTTTCTTCCTACCCTACAACTTTTTCAAGACTTAGATTCAAAAAGTCCTCTATCGCGTGTACAACAAAATTTCATCAAGTATATAACACCCAATCTTGTAATCACAGTTAAGTGTAATAGTTGTAAATAGAGATAAACAGTTTCAGATCTTTTACAACAAAATTGGCTGCACAATATTATGTTGGCGTGCAATAGAAGACTGGAAGTCTACGGCTACCACTTCACCACTACTCACTATTTTTCTATAGTTTTATACGTCACTTTAAAATGATAGAAACATAAGCCAATAGTTACAAGTTGGAATGTGAACAGAAATTGGGACATTGACCTTAATGTGTAACGAAAAAAAGGTTTTCGTCGAAGTCTCCACGAAAATTTTGAAAGATGCTTTTTGTACAATATTTATATGAATTCAATCAAAAGCGGTTATAATTCCCTTGGTTATAAGATAAAATAGTGGAACATATAGAATGTCCCAAAAAAATGTATACACAAGTGTTTATTCAAATATATTTCATTTTCAAATTGTAATACAATCTACAGAATATAGCCGTCATAACACAAAATTCTGCCATTCTTCCATGACGGATATAGTCAAACACACTTAACTGGTTAAGGCTACAAAAAATTAATTATAATAAATAGACAGCTAATAGAATTAAATTAAGATTGTCGTACAAAATATGTACGTATATCTGTAGAAATGTAGAAGTATGTACGCACTGAGCAAGTAAAATAGAAATAAAAATATTAAGAAGATATTTCATCACTGATAACAGTCAACACTTAGATGATAATAAAAGAAATATTGTGAAACATGAACCATGTGTTGATTCCACGAACACATTAACTAACATCTTTCCGTTGGCACTTCGTCCTAACGCTTGTCGTCTCGTTCACGGTTACATTCGTCGTAGATCAAAATTTGTAATGGGAAATCGTCATCATTTGTGCATTGTGTAATTAATAAAGAACAAACTGTCTCAGCTCAGCTAAATAAACGTATTTGTCCGCGAAATCACGCGTCCGTTACTGTGCCTGCGTTATTCGGTTCCTGTCCATCAGACTCACGGAGTGCCAAAAAATCCGTAACTGATAAATTCACGATTAACGCATGAAAAAGTTCTGATTCAGTTGAAAATTAGATACAATAATAGTATCAATTTTCAGAACGCAGAAGGAACTAATAGTTAAACGACTTTAATAATTATTTTATCACATTTCACTTAAAATTCGCCCATAGCGTATAATTTTTTGCAGAGATTATATAGCTAGTAAAACATTAAATTGTTTGATCCAACATTAAGAAAATTAATTCAGTTTTGAAATATGTCCGAATATTAATGGCCACTGTATACAAAGCACATTAGTTAAATCATTTAAGTTCACTAAAATGAAATTGAAATTTATTTTAAATTATGTATCCATCAAACACCTTGAATTGATAGTCTAAAAAAATCAAGAATTAAGGTAAATGTCCCAATTTTTGTTTACACCATAATTTCTACTCATTCTTCTTTTCATATTATTTTATATGTAGCATATAAAATTATAATAAAATAAGTCAGAAAGTAGAAATTAGGAAATGAACAAAAATTGGGATCTGGTAAATATGATTAAATAGATCAGCAAATGGAACAATTTATAATAAATAAACTGTAGATAATATGCATTTATAGCAAAATTTAAGACATAAAAACGTAAAAATATATATAGTGGATAAAAATGCATGAATTCTTGACAACAAGATGCATGGCAAATGTTTTACAGGATTAGGTAATACATNCATAACTTGCAAGTATTTACCAGTGCTGAGTTAGAAAATAATAAGTTTAATTAGCAGTTAGTACCGGTCGGAGAATCGCGCGATTACGAATTCGACCTCGTTTTCGTTCTGTTCGATTATCTTCTGAAATCATTCGAAGTATAATAATTGGCTTGATAACGTACCTTGCGAACGAGCAAACGATAAAATTCGGCTATTGTAACAGGGGTGTACTTGCACGTCAGCGGGCGTTGTACGACAGACCACATGTTTACAAGTGTCCCTGCTTTATAAGGTGGCTACGATGGAGCTGTTATCGAAATATGTTTGAATTTCGTAAGCTCATCGATAAACGTTACAGAGATGGGTGTCGTTACGATTGGCGTTATTATATCATAGCCCCGCATCGGTTATGTGTAAAATCGTGCTTCCGTCGTTGTAAATCATTTTTTAGGAATTCGCTGATAGCCATTTATTTTATCAGGCGTATTCGATGAATTTTGTATGGAGCACGCAGTACATATTGTGTTGAAATCGACGGGACACCAAAAATTCCTTCTTTTGTACGAATTTTCACATGCATGTCTCACTAATTTATTTTTATAACTCCCGAATGGATTTATGTCGTGTATCACTAGTGATCCGTTAGCCTGATTTAATGTTTGATATGACGACGACAAATATTATCAACAACATTATATGTGAAATAAATAGATTTCTTCTGTTATCCAATTTTTATATATTGTACTTAACTAGCTATTGGGACGTTGTTTGGATTTATTAATGATAATTTATAAAATCTCATTTAGTATTTAAAGGTAAAAAATATGAATATGTGAAACAGGGAATAGCTATTACACTGTACAGCAGACAATTTTTTTTCATTACCCATTACATGATTCCCCTCTGTGTTCTGCTCATTTGTAAATAGTTTCCAAGTTTCGTAGTAATGAGAAGCCAAGTTCTTCCATCGACACATATTCCCCGCACTTAATACATTGTGTACTCCTGGCGATAACCGGCGTCCTTCATATTGGACGGACTTTCTGCACCACCCGCGGCTACTTCTTCAAGAAAATCGGAACGATTGCCATTCGCTATTTTTCGATTCACGAGATTCGTTGAAACTTACATGTGGCTTCGCTACAAGTCGTCAATGAAAATAAACAAAACAAGGCAATAAAATGCTTGACATAACAAATGTAATCGAACAATCGAGCGAGTGCGTGATTTGAAGTATTTAGATCAGTTTACTTCCATCATCAATGATCATCCTTCATATTTTAAAACGTTTCTACCGGTCGCCCTATTACAGGGCTTCTTAAACTATGGGTCGCGACCCCAAATGGGGTCGCGTAGCAAAATTTTGACGACTGTAATGGTAACTCGCAATCATAAATGGGGTCGTGAATGACAAAAGTTTAAGAAGCCCTGCCCTATTATAATGATGATATGATGTCGTTTGACGTGTCGTGCAACATGCCGCATTCTGGACCTAGTTCCTACGCGCAGATGAAAAATACTTAGCTTCAATTTCCGTCTACGAGTGGAAACTATTAAAGTCAGATAGAGGGAGAACGCATTTTTTATGTATGTGTGCGAACTGGGTCTGGAATTCCTTGAATTACTCGTACATTTGGTAAATTAACTCTTTTATCTTTTGATGAAAATTCAAGCCGCCTGTAAGCCAACTATTCTGTTTTAGAGAGTGTTCACTTAATATTATTCTTGACTGTCTTTCAATCATTAGAACGTTAATCGTATTCAAAGAACAGACATTTAAAACAAATACTATTTTATTTGAGCCAACAAATATTTCAATTAATGTGAAACTTACGCTTTTTCCTCGTTCTTTGTTGTACCTATTCTTGAAGAATCCAAAATGGACATCAAAATGAATCGTCAGGATATTGATTATTCAATATCGATTGAATGCATCGGCCTTCAATCGATTAAGGAAATCATTTTGGGTACTGATGTCTTTTTTTATGGCAGGAGATATGAAAAATGCATCACTGGCTTATTCTTGTGTCAAATGAATTGTATTTTATGGTAAAAAATATACAGTTCAAAGTTAATTGGGAATGTTTGCCAGCTTAGAATATAAAGAACTTTCTGTTTTCCACTCACCAATTACTGTAAAGTGTTTAACCGGTAAGAATTATTTAAACGCACTCGACGACGAACCACAGTTTCTTTTGTTACTTCTTTACTGTACATAGTTTCATCGACAGGGTATAAAAATATTTGTTTAAAATCTGTGCGCATTAAAATAATCGCATCGAACAGAAAATAGGAAACTTAACTAGTATACTCTGGGTATACTACTAGTATACTACTGGGTATATTACTAGTATACTCTATACATCTATTTTTGTCAGGTTTGAGGGCACTTATCGTACATTAATTGTAAAAAATTTCTGGCAATTGCATCCTCACGCTATTCCAGTTCGTGCGGCATTAAACGAACTATATCTTATCCTAAAATATCTGCAGTTCTAATTTAATTGAGTTGAACATTAAAATGAATGGTACTTATGAAAGCATGTCTGGTAGCTTAAAATATAAAGAACCTCCTGTCTCTCTCTTAATTAATTACTGTGAAGTGTTCAATTATGAATTATTTAAGCGCATTTGACGATGTTACAGTTCCTTATATTATTTCTTTGTCGTACATACTTTCATCGAGAGGATATAAAAATATTTATTTACACTGTCTGTAAGTATTTTATGAAATCTATTGGCACACTTGGCGTCCTACGTATTTCTATCGCGTTTATGCGTTTCGTTTAAGTATACTCCTGGTATATTGATTCTAAAACTCTTTATGCTTGATTACATTCGTTCACTCGTTTGGTCAGTTCCTATTTCAGTAAAACTACGCTGTAATGCGTCTATTTTCTTAGAACTACGCTGTAATGCTTCTATTTTATTAAAACTACGTGTTAACAAAATCGGGTAATTAATAATAAGAGTATAACGAGGAACGACGCGCCTATACTATTACCTCCGTTATCGGGCCTCTCGAATATATCACTGTTATCGCCCAGCCACTCATCTACAGTTGACTTGTATTTATTAATCCATATCATGTTCTGTACCGCATCTTTCAAGACATCATCCTCCGGATCCAGTTTTCTACCCAGGAAAAATGCGGTCAGCTGAAATCAAACGAACAATTCTATACATTTCGATTTAAATTCCAAAATTCTTTATTAATCGCGAAGTGACGGGTATTTAGGTCTTGCTTCTATCATCTCAGGATCACTTGTGTAGTATAATCGAGGTATTGGGAACGGATGTATGATTTAGGATAGGGTACCTGTCCGAAATATACTGAGAAAGTATTAGAGCCGAATAGAGATGATTGTGTATGTATTTTTTAACAAAACTTTCTTTTGGCAAAATGCAGAGTGAGGCATGGTTTTTGAATTATTAACGAAGAATGCTGACCAATGAAAGCACGTGTAGGGCCCGCGCTGAACCACGGCCGAGCTTTACGATTCGAGCCAATATTTCCGTCATTAGTCAGTATTCCTCGTTAACAGTTCAAAAACCGTGACTGACTGTACATTTTGCATAAGGAAATTGCTGTTCAGAAACCTACGAAGTCACCTCTTTTCGGCTCTGACACTTTTTCTGGGATATCCTGCATGTATGTACACAGAGTATCCCAGAACTCGTGGTACATTTTATAATGGGCGGTTCCTGAGGTGATTTTAAATAATATTTTCCTTTGTAAAAAAAGTTGTTTGAAGCGTGGTTGTCGAGTTGTTAATGAAAAACTCCGACCAATCAGAGCGCCCGTATAGCAGGCGGCCAAGAATTTTGTAATGCATCTTTATAAAAAATTTTCACGGAAAGCCTATATTTTCTTTACGGAAAATGAAAGTTCCATACTCTAACTATTGTTTAGTTCAACTTGTATTAAAATCGTATATGTTTTGCAAGTGCTATCGAGCTACCTTAAACACTTAGAACAAAATGACGTTGAAGAAAATCTTGCAGCGTTCATGTTTTGGTAGCATTTATATAACATAAGAAATATTTTTTCTGTCATTGCAAATGAAAGAGATATTGAGGTCTTCACATTTAGGTGGATTTCCATTAAACAGTAGAAAAGAGGACATGTAACGAGGTTTGTTTTTAGAAAGCTATGAAACCGAACTTACATTAAGAAGTTGCTCCTTATTCGTAACTCCTCCGCTAATCGCTGTAACGACATCTTTCATAATAGTTTTGAAATTCTCTCTGAAATCACGAAGTGAAGAAATGAGATCAGTTATATTAGATGTAGATTCACACTGTCATGCCATAACTATTTAGCATTGTTTTAATTTTTCTTTTAAGGTTGTATGAATTTTTAAGTAAAAATGGTGACGTAGCATTCAAATTACATTAACAATCATTAAGTGCCAGAATCATATATTAGAATTATAGAAATTATATATAAAAAAATTGCTTGACTTAAAAAAACACGTCAACGATTTTGTAAACCTTTCTAAACGTTTATCGTTTCACGTATTGGGCACAACTTGTTATCATTTTTCTTAAACTTTTAGAGATTTTACGGTTCACATAACCTTAAGTAAACGTAACAATGACCACAGTGAAAAGAAAGAAAGGTACGAAGTTAGTTACAATTTCTCGATGCGTCGGTATTGTTTGAGCACGAAATTGAAAACGAGTTGGGCACCCCCCGGATATCTGGACACCACGTTTGCCGCTGCGGTCTTGAAATCAATCGGATAGTTTGGATCGAGGGTTGAGTTTAGGTATTTCTTCAGAATCTTAGTCGAGTTGGAGCAGGCTAGAGCCACCACCTGTTCCTTCCTAATCTCTTCATCGGGTTCAGATACAATTATTTGCTTCAGAATATTAGTCCACATGCTCTCGTTCGCGTTCCTGGCCCCAGCGCAGAGAATTTCGTTCTTCAGGTTAACATCCAATCTGTACACAAGATTATGTTAAGAATTTCTTGAAAAAAGTTACTTATCAAGAGATATTGTTCCGTCCGTTCAACGGAAAAAATAGAATTTATGACCAGTTAGCATTAAAAGGGATTAACTCGTCAACAAATAGCCTTTTCCAGTCACACAGAAAAGGAAACAGAGTTGTCTCGAAGTAAAAAGGTACTTCAACGCATTTCCAAAAACTGATTGCCAGCCCAAACGAAGGTCAAAGCCCATTGTCTCGTCAAGCGTTGGAAATCTGTATACATTTTCTAACTGTTCTCCACCCCTCGTCAGGCCAAGACTTCACAAAGGGAAAGGAGAGAACGGTTATCTCAGGGAGCGGAC